CAGGTTTATTTTAAAAAGAAAGAATTATTTTTTTTAAAAATAATACTTAGATTAATTATAGAGATTTATTATGTATTTATATACTTTTATTATTTTTAAGAAGTTTTTAATTATTGTTTTGCAAATAATAAAATTCGATTTATTAAATTTATTAAATAAACTAAATAAATATAAATTTTGTAATCTGCATCAACTATAAGTTAATTCATATTATTAATGCTCCAGAAGCGGATTTCTTAAAGAACAACATCCCAGAAGTGAAATTCTTAAAGAAAAGCGCTCCAGAAGTGAATTTCTTAAAGAAAAACGCTCTAGAAGCAAATTTCTTAAAGAACGATGCTCTGGGAGCGTAATTATTAAAGAAAAAAACTCCTGGAGCGAAATTATTAAAGAACAATGCTTTGGAAGCAAATTTCTTAAAGAATAACACTCCGGGAGCATAATTCTTAAAGAAAAATGCTTCTGGGACAAAATTCTTAAAGAATAATGCTCCAGAAGTGAATTTCTTAAAGAACAACGCTCTGGGAGTGTAATTCTTAAAGAAAAATATTCCGGAAGCGTTTTCACTTCAAGAGAATCGATTTGGAGACGTTTCTTTTAAAGGAAACTATTTCAGAGATGATTCTCTTGAAGGAAATCGCTTTTCAGAACTTTTCAATTACTCCGAAATTTTTTTTCGGATTTTTGTTAATAATGTAAGCCATGTGAGCTGGCTTGTTTGACTCGCGAGCCAGCTCAGCTTGCCACATTTTGGACTCAAGCCAAGCCGGCTCGTGAGCTGAAATAATTCAGCTCAACTCGAGCCGATGGTGAGCCGGCTCATGTGGAGCTTTATCTCTTATCTAATTAAAAGTATTTTTAATAGATAAAGGTCCAGAGTTTAGAAATAATTATGAGAAATTAATAAGAGAGTATAATGTAAAAATTAAGAAGGCCAAATCTGAATATACTATGATATTGTTGAAAAATATAATTGAATTTTAACAGTGTGATTAATTTGTCAACAAGATGCTTCTAATTTATTAACATTACATATTTTTGATTATTATTAATAATATTAATAATTTAGAGACGCATTTTCTCTAGCAGTTATGATAAAAGAAGCAAGGATTATTGTTAAGTCTTCTAAACCTTGAAATAGTTCTATAGAATATGATAAAAAGCAATTAACTTATGATGTACTTGTGAGATACTTACTTGAGTCTGATAAGTTAGATAGTAAAAGAAAACATTGTGAACGAATAAAATGTGATAGGATCTAAGTAACACAGATGATTGACAAATCTGACAAATCTGACATATTTGACATTTTAGACATGTCTGACATATATGATATATCTGACATGATCGATAAATAAGATATATTAGACATATTTGACATATATGATATATTAAACATATTAGTTATATCTTTCTATATATTGTATTTTATATAAATAGATAGCTTTTTAGACCATGAAAAAGTAGGATTTGACAAGTCAGTTTTTCAGTAGTTTTTAAGAGGCAAACAGGCCTATTGTGTTACATTTTAGTTTAATACTTTGTTTTTTTATTTTCTTTTTTTTTCTCTTGTCATATCTTTTATTCTCTTTATTTCTATTTTCTATTTTATTAATAAATATCTTACTTGAAAATATAATTGCTCAATACCTTTTGAATTGTTAATTGTGAGACCTTCGTATAAACTTTCTACTTGAATTTAGTTATAATAAGTATATCTGTAAAGCATTGAGATTACTGTGTAATTAAAAAGAAATAACAATCTGACACTATCTAACAGTTGTAGTTCACAGGAATTACATGTTAACAACATACTAAAAATATGAATTAGTCTCCTCAAGTCTATCATATCTGCGAATTTTTAATGCAAAAAAATCTGTTAATCTTATATGCGCTAAAAGATAATGAGAGAAATAGTCTGAAAAGATCTTTTATGATAGAAGAATTTATAATTATTAAAGAAGCTTAGCTATCACTTTAATGAATGCTTAGTAATTAAAAAAGTCTTAGAATTTTTTATTAACCTGTTTTTTAGATCTTTGGCTAATTTATAATATAATTTATATAAATCTATTATAGCATTAAGGATTTTCAGATTTTTTCCATACCAAGATTTATAGTCATTCATAATACTATGATATTTATCCTTATCTAAAAACAATTATTTTATATTTTCTAGAATATATTTCTCAGAATCTTCTGCTTGTGTATTTTTTAATTCTTTTTTTATAACTTTGTATGAATTTGCCATCCTTTAGCTTTCTATAATATATTTCTATCTTGACTAATTTATTAATACCTGCTCGACTTTCTAAAAGATGGGCTTAGTTTTAGATAAATGAATTTATATACACATAATGAAAGTATTGCTATCTTGAAATCTTTTATTTAAAATAAAATATTTATTACTTATTACTATGATAGGTAAATTTACTTGCAAGTATTTACTCATAACTGAAGGTATTTATAAACAGATTTGTTATTGATCTAAAAGGTATTTTATTAGTGTCTTTTTTGCAATGTTTGTAATAAGTCAACTAGCTCTAAATTCGGTCTTTATAAAAAATATGCTAGTGGTTATTATGTGATTCAGTAATTTTTGATAAGATTTTTGCTCTAGGATTTGTGAATATGATGAATTGACTTTAAAATAGTTTCCTGTATATCATGAAATTATTAGTATACTAGAACTTAGTTTAAAATATAAATGCCTCTCTAAACTATTTTAAAACATTTGTGTTTTAAAATATTTGAGATAAAACTATTTGTTTATAATAAATATCTTTACTTAAACTTTTAATAGGTTTTCCTAAACTCAATTAAGTTTTATCAAGTTTTAGATTTAAAAAAAAGTTATTTTAAAGTTTCAAAATAGTTTCTAAATTTTTAAGCTATATTTTAAATAAGTTTTGAACAGCATCATTAATTTAGAACTTTTAGACTTTCTTGTACACATACAAAAATTTATACCTATACTTCGCAATTTGTGTAAATTTTTGGTATTTCTAGCTGATAATAAATCAACTTTAGAATTAATTCTAATATATCATAAAATATGATATGCATTTTAGGCTTACTAGGTCAGTTCCATCTCAAATTATATCATTTCATTTCTTGATTTTTGATGAACGCTTTTGAAAACAAGCAGAATAGCATAAAAGTTATTGTTCATATTAGGTTTGCAAGGTTAGGTTTATCTCAAATCATGTTACTTTGTTCTAAAAAGACAAATAGTATAGTATAATTTTTTTGATATATTATTTGGAATTAAAATCAGGCTAAAAAGGCTATATAAAATAGTTTAAATCTTGATATCTGAAGGACTAATTCTAAGTTAAGTTTGATATTAGAATTAGATTTGAGCCAAATAATATTAATTCATATAGCTAGAATTGATTTGCAGGTGATCAGAAAACTTTCTGTACACTATTTGGAAATTTTGTTCTAAAAGTTCTATTTTGTCTCTACTTTTTATTTATTTTAAAAATATTATATAAATCTTTTTTTATTTACTTTTTTAATTTAAAATAAAAATAACAAAGATTAAAAATTAATAGTAAAGTGATTAAAAAGGAAAATGAATATAAAATAATAATATATATTTAAAAAATCAAAAAAAAAATGAATTATATTTATATTATTTAATAATAAAAAAAAAATAGTATAATTTAAATATTAGAATTACTGAATTTTTATGAGTTTAGATTATATTTTTTTTGTTTATTATTTTAATATAAAAATATTAATGATTTTTAAATAACATTATAATAAATATAGAATTGATTTATTAAAATAAAGTTTAATTAAATAATTTATATTCTTAAACATAAAAATAAATATTGTTTGTTGAATTTGCTTAAAATTCAATATCAAATCATTAAAATAATAAACAATAGCATTATTTTAAGAATGATTAAATATCTAAATGTCTAAAATGTCTAATAATAAAGAATACAAGTAAAAAAAATTAATAAAAGCTTATTATTAAGTGAGATTCAAACCTAATAACAATCATAAAAAAAAAATCACAATTTAACTTTTTATTTATTCTTTGCTTTCTATGGTTAGCAAAAGATTAAGTTATTTGAGAATAAAAAAAGCAAATAGAAATAAGAAAATTTCGCTTTGTTTAAAAAATTTTCTCACATATTTTTTTCTTTGTTGTATGGCTTAATTGGGCAAAGTCATCAGTTCCCAAAGAAATAAAATGACTTCATTGTTCGTCGATGAGCTGTGTATCATATTACAGCTCCATCATTGGTTCACAATAGGTCCAATATTTCTAAATGGAGTTAATGAAGTTACACAAAAATGATAAAATGATCGTAATTTGCAGTTTGGGGATGTCGATTCAATCATAATGTTTTGTCCCCCCAATTTCCGTTTTTTACGCCTAATTCATCATTCAGTAGCTACTGAAATTTTTTACGGCCGACGTCTGTAATTCTACCTTATCAAACAACCATAATTTAATTATTCTTTCTCTAAATTTATTCACCTCGGAGACTCGTAGGTTTTTTTTCTTGCCAAGAATTATATAAATTAAACCTTTTATTTTCTCAAATAGAAAATAAAATTTTTTTACTCCTTTATTCTATATTAGTTCGAGTTTATACCAAGACTTATTACATTAAATTTTCTGCTTTCGTCGTTCCTTATAACAGGTATGGTATATATATTACTATAATACAATAAATTTTGTATAAAAAAAAATACTCACCTCACCTCACCTTACTAGTTTTATTTTTTATTATTATTCTATCCTACTTCAAAATCGATTTAATTTTTTGTTCGCCAAATCCAAGAACTTCGATTAATCTTTTTCTCAACGCTTTTTTGTCACTCAACTAATTCATATCATTAAATTTTTTTTTAAAAATAAAAATAATAAAAAAGGAAATCTATTAAAAAAAAGAAAAATAATAAAAATCTATTTTTCACAATATGATGGCCAATACAATATTGCAGCAGTCAATGCATATGGCTCAACAACAACAGGCACCTAATCAAACACAACAACCTCCACAGGCTCAACAGCAGCCACCTTCACATGGCCAGCAAGCCTCACATATTCCTCAGTCACAAAACCAACAATATCTTTCTGTACACTCCCAAGCCGACCAGATTCAGAGAAACGGCATGCACAAACAACAAGAACAGAAACTCTTAAATTCTTATGTATACGATTTCCTAAAGCGTAGTGGTGCAACAGAAACAGCCCGAGCTTATTTACGGGAAGGAAGAGCAGATATCAAGTTAAAAAATGATGGGTCGGATTCAATAAACGGTAGTAGTAGCTCAAGTTCAGATAACAATATGAACTCAATATTATTACCGGACGCAGATGTTCCAGTAGAGGCACCTGAGGGATTTTTATATGAATGGTGGAATGTATTTTGGGATGTATTCAGTGCTAAATCACAACGGGTGGGAACTTCGGATGCACAACAAGCACAACAAGCGCAACAGGCACAGCGATTCGTCGAGGTAAATCTTAGACTTTAATTTCCAAATTAACTATTATTTTTAAAATTATCAAAATTATAATTTATTGAGTTTAGAAATATATAATTATCTTTAATAATCTTTTTTTTTAAAAATTTATATATTTGACTTAGATGAGAAGAAACGGTCGTTTCCGAATGGATAATATTAATCAAATACCGACAATAAATTATCAGCATCCACAAGCTGTAGCTCAAGCTCAAGCTCAAGCTCAAGGTGTTCAGCAAATGCAGCGACTGATGCATATTCAACATCCACAACAACAACATCCACAGCAATCTCAACAAGCTTCACAACAAGCCGTTCAGCAGCAGCAGCAGCAGCAGCAGCAGCAGCAACAACAGCAACAGCAACAACAACAGCAGCAGCAACAACAACAACAGCAACAGCAACACCAGCAACAACAGCAGCAACACCAGCAACAACAACAGCAGCAGCAACAACAACAGCAACAAGCACCTCCACGGCAACCACAACAGCCACAACCACCACAAACTCCACAACAACCTCAGCCTCAACCTTCTCCAGCTAATCAACAGCAGGTTACTCATCAACTTCTCTCGCAGAATCAATTTAATAATCGCCAACAAATCGTAAATGGTGTACCGATTGATTCTAATAATACAAATGGTGATATGTCAATGAGTCCTACGAGGACATTAAAAATGCCTCCGGGACCACGCAGAATACCGGCGTAAATATAACTCTTAATAATTTTTTAATATAATTTTTTGACTTTAATTCTGATTTTCGATTTAAATTACTAGAACTGGCATGAGTATCAATTCATTACCAATGTCTAATATGTCTAATAATCGATATATAAATCTCCAACAGCCACATCCAACGTCGGTAAACCAAAATAGCGTTGCTTTGGTTGCTCAACAAAGTTCTCAAGCAATTCAGAATCAAGGACAGCAGAAACAACAGAACAGCGAGGTTAATCAAGGACAAGTTCAACAACCCATAGCGCGAGATACTCAGTCAAACATCTCTGCTTCCCAAGCGCACATGACTCCGAGCCAATTGCCAGCACAAGTAAATTAGCATCCTATATAATACAATCAATATTAAATTATCATATAATGTATTCTTATTTCTAACCTTTAATTCATAGCTAAATCCTTCAACGAAGCGTGGTGTCGATGTCCAAACTATGAATCAGAATATTGGTCAGCAATCACAATCGCCAAGTAAGCGTCCCAGAACGGCTCAAGAGCTATCTTCACCATACGGTTAGTAATGATCGAATTGATAATCGTGGGTATAAATTTTTAATTCTATTCATTAATATTTTTTTATACAGCTGCTCATGCACAAATGGCTAGCCAAAGACAATTAATGCTTAATAACGGCAACAATATGTTGATAGCTCAGGTTTGTAATTAAAATTGTATGTAAAATTTTTCGTCATGTAATTTTCATTACAATCATTTATTTGCAAATTTCTTGGTCTCTTAATAGCCATATTCAGCTTCCCCTGATAAGAATTGCCAAACCCAGCATCCCATAAATGGGAAAGCAAAGGTTAATCAACAAATACCATATAGAGCTCAACAAATTTCAACTATTAATAAATCTATTTCACCACATGCAAATCAAATGACGACTCCTATGATTCAAAATGCTACTGAGATGCAAGATTCTCAACTTGCTAGCCAGATCACTCATCAAATTAACGCTGCCAATACTGGTGTTCAGGACGTAAAAAACCAGCTCAGCGTGCTCAATATGCCGAATATGCCGAATATGCCAATACTTCATATGCCACATAATAATGCTGCTAATATGGCAGTAATGGGGTTCCCACAGGGAATTATGCAAAACCAACGGGCTCATAAACAACTCAGTCATATGGCCATTAATGAAAAGAATACGATTGAGAACTTCAACAAGGTACGTAAAACTTGTATTATAAATTATCGATCTAATTAATTTACATTTTTAATAATTTTTTTTATTATATCATCTATATCATAGCAGCGTAATATGCAAGAGCAGCTTGTCGCTGCTGGTATACGGCCAGGTATTTTGCAGTTTAATCATCCAATGCTGTTGCGACAACAACAACTACAACAACAACAACAGCAACAACACCAACAGCAACAGCAACAGCAACAACATCAGCAGCAGCAGCAGCAACAACAACAACAACAACAACAGCAAGTTTCAAACGTTGTTACTGCTCAGAATATTAATCAATCTCAGCTTCCACAACGTGGTAAAAATGATAATTCAAAAGGGGCAAAGGTTAGCTTTTTAAAAAAATAAATATATAATTATTTATTTTAATAGTAATAAATTTCCATATTATTCAGAGCTCTGCAAAGACCACACCAACACAAAGTCAGCTACAAACTCCGAACGGTAATGCACAAAATGCAATTGCCGCTCAAAATGGACTTCAATCACAGTCTGCTCAAACGATGACAACGGGCGTGATGAATGACATTTCAACAGGATTAAATATGAAAATTGAAGAGGTGTGCATAATATCTAGTTTTTTTTTTGATTCCACAAAATATTAATCAATTGTTATTGTTTTAGGCGATAATGAGTGATTTTTTGGGCTTCGAATCAGCTGATACGAACGAAATTACCGACGGATTCAGTACATTCTTCAACTTCGATGGTATACCGGATGAATTTCCTACCAGCAATGAAGGGCCGAGTACCTCAACAACTAACGACAACTAAAAAGTTGCTGTTGGTTGCAAAAAGAAACAATTTGATTTTCTTCCATCACCCTATAGTGTATAGTTTTTTCTTTTATGTGGTGGTGAAAGAAAATAAGCATTCGGAACAAAAAAAATTGTATATATATAATATTAAACGTATTTACGATACGATGGTGGTATTATGAATGCAACTAGTTTAGCAATTAATGATTTCATATCTTATTTCTATAAGACCACGTAATTTTAGATTTTTAAAGCATTATTCATTTATTTTATATATATATATATATATATATATTATCTTCGCGTATTCTCCTTTTCCCTCCCCTTTAGTAAAAGTAGTATATTATATATTATTAGTAATGATAAAAATAAATTTCGTTTCAAAACGTGTCGGAATTTCATTTATTAGTTTATTATATTTCTCATTAATAAATAAGTTCGGACCATTTTTTATGCTAATAATTATAAGGTAGAGAATATAAAGATTTCTATATATATATATATTACAGTGTTCGGTAAATCAAAATCCAAATATAATAAAATATATATAAAAATCACGTGATGTTCGGAAACTTTTACAAAAACTTTAGATGCATTAATATTAAGTATAATAATATTTGTGGAAAACGTATCTAATAAAATTATTATTAATTCTTTTGTAAATGATAATTATGAATAAATATATTACTACACAAGCATTATATATATTTTTTCTATAAATGCATATTCCATACAAAATCTCTCTTTAAAATGCACACCCTCTTTAAATGCACATTTTTTCAAATTTTTACTAGGTCTCATGGGGATGCATTTAGAGAAGTCTCACTATGTATAAATTAAAAAAATTTATTTTTTATAAGAAATACTTATTTTATAAAAATTATTAGATGTAAGAAAATAGTATCATAAATCATTTTTATATAGTATTTCTTAAATATAATACCTTCAGACAATGTAGAATGTATAAGTATCTGTAGATATAAGAAAATAGTACCATAAATCATTTTTATATATTTCTTATATATAATACCTTCAGATAACATAAAATGTATAAGTATCTGGGATATGATAAAATTTTGATATTCAATGTATAGTATTCAAGTATTAAATATTGTATAATATTAATAAATTGAATAATCAATTATTTATATTTTACAAGTATACACTATATATAGTATTTTTCTTTAATAATAATACTTTCTAATATATATGTATATCCCACATTATTTAGAATATATAAAATATCTGGATAAATTGTTGAATAAATTAAAGAATAGGAATCATTACTAAGTCTAAAACGAATGTAATGAAAGTAACTAATTACATATTAACTCAATTTTTGAGTAAGAAAAAGCAAACATCTTTAAGTCAAACAGAGATAGATTTTAGTTATAATATATTTTTGAACAGGTTTTAGATATGTTTAAAATCTGCTTAGAACTTTTCAAAATTATCTATAATTATCTAATAGTTTAATACTATGATAAAGGCTTATAACATTTGCAAACAACAATGCTGATAATATTATTAAATAAGCTTATCTGATTAGTATATATTTTAATTTGATTTATTCTATATTCTAATAATTATTTATATTTATTAAAATAATTTAATTAAATGTACGATATAATTGTGAATTTAAAAATGTATTTAAAAAAAAACATGAATACCCTTATAAGCCATCGATATTAGATTTGTTATCAGAAAGAATAGCATTATTTTATTAGATTATTTTTGTGAGCTTTTCAAAAATTGTGAAAAAAGCAAATTGGAAAAGAAAAATTAATATAAATTAGTTACCTTAGGAGAAACTGTTGATCTGAAATGTCTTTCAATTGGATATAGTATTAGTTTACTCTCATTACCCAATATTTGTGATCATTGTAAAAAAAACTTGATGATAGCGAAGTTTTAGTTGTAGACATTGATATCACTTTGAATACTATCAAAATATTATAGTATAGTTATTATTATAGTAAGGAATATCATAAACACAGAATTTATAATAATGTGAATTCCTTTTTAAAATGATTAGAAAAAGGTTCAAATATATTTACCATTGAAGAAAAAGAAGGTGAAAGTATTGAAAATATTACAAATGATGATAATGAAAAGGTAGAAAAATTAGAAATAAACCAGTATGTGTTTAGCTTTTATAATTGCACTTAAACAAGTTAATGCTTTGTAATCGTATGCTCAAGTTATTATTATAAATATAATAAAAATTACATTTTATGTAATTTGCAGACATTCAGATGCATTTGGATACAATGAAATTAAGAAGGAAGATCTCAAAGAGCCCAAAATAGAATACATAGTTGAGGAGAAAGTTGAGAAAAGTGATGAACATGTTAATGATGATGGATCTGCTCTAAATAAGGTTGCTTGTCTAAACTCATTATGGATTTGGCAAAATAGTTAAACCTTTAGTTTCGCTAAATTTTTATTAAATATTTGATATAATTTTGCCATTTTTATAAACTTTAATATAGTTTTACCTTTTTTCAAATTTCGCAGATTTTTTAATAAGGTTTTAATATAATTTAACCAAGTTTTAC